GAGAGAGAGAGAGAGAGAGAGAGAGAGAGAGAGAGAGAGAGAGAGAGAGAGAGAGAGAGAGAGAGAGAGAAAGAGAGAGAGAGAGCCCAAACTAACTACCCGGCTCATTCCCCACGACTTCTCTGCTCCTGCCGCCCTCCTCCGCCCTCTTCCCCGGCTTCTTCACTCTCCCGGCTCCTCCGCCACACCTCCACAGCTCGGGGAAAAAAGGATGTGCCTCCCCTCCGGTCTTTCTCTATGTGCCTGGCGCCAAGGTTGCCCAGGAAGGTACGTGAGGCCAATGGGGATTGAACCCAAGACCTCATGAATGCCACTTGCATGCCATACCAACCAAGGTACGCCGCTGGATTTCAGTCTAGAGTCGGGGGAAGACAGTAGGGGTAGACATAGCATGCCGATTTCCAAAGCCAGCAGTTGCAGAACCTCCCCAACTAGCAGGAGGTGCTGCACACACATTGCCATAGCTGTTAGGGCACAACCCCCCACGGGACCATGAGTCAAAAAACTCCCCCTACCACCACCCCAAAACCCACCGAACCCACCACCCTGACTCATTTCTCCCATTTCCCCCTCAATCCCTTGCGAGCGAAGCCGCAACTTGTCCCAAACGGATACATCCGCTCCTAYGCCTCCTGCAGACAGTCCAGCTGCTTGCACACAGCCACAGCACCATGTCTTATGCCCTTCCATGTTCGTTTGTCCCCCAGCTGTGCAACAGGATATGGTCCCTGCCCAGAGTACACTCCCAACGACAGTCCCTACTCACGATGTGGCCCCGAACGCTGAGGGCCKGGGACATGATCAGCTCGGACTGCATTTAACCCCGCAAGGCATAGACCACACGGGAGATTTGCAAATGGCTGACCAGGATCATATGGATGAACCGCGTCCTTGTGCTCCTCCCTGTGTGGCCCCGAACGCTGAGGGACTGGAACATGACCTGCTTGGACTGCATTTAATCCTGCATGGCGTAGACCCCACGAGGGATTTGCAAATGGCTGACCAGGATCATATGGATGAACCGCATACTTGTGCACCACCCTGCGCAGACCCCACGGGTGATCTACAAATGACTGMCYARCAAAAYCAGYCTGAGATCCCCGCCAATCTCTGTGGTCTGACTGCAACTAATAGCTGCCTTCRCGTTCTCAATCGGCCGTTGTATACACCATCAGATTTCCTTGCAATTGCCCTGCAGCTTGATGTTGATCTCGCTAATCTCGCTGATCCCCCTGACCTACAGCCAGCGCATCGTAATTACACCAGGGAAGGAGGTTTTACCATTGCTGTCCTAGAAATAGCGATGAGGAACTGCCAGCTTGAACTACGCCATGCTCTGCCAGGTGAGCTGTTTAATCCTCCATCCCGCATCTCTGCCTGCATTGTGCATGGGCCTGGCCATTACATGGCTATTGTACACGCCTCTGACCATTGGGAGATGTGGAACGACATGGACCATGAGAACGATGGTGTCATGGTCCATGCCATGATTGATATTACTGATTTCTTACTCTATGATGCTGTTCTCTTGCCACATCAAACTGTCCGCAACCTCCTTTATGTCGAAGATCATTC